TTGCTTTTAATATCCTTCATTTATAAACCACTTTGGATAAAAGCACCTGCTAAATGAATAAATGTAAAAGAAGATCTTTCCAGTAAAAAAGTATTTCATCAGCCTAATGCAAAAAGCACAAGCTAAGTTGATGCTGGGGGTGAGAAATAAATCCAGCACGGAACATGCCAAGAAGACCAACATGTGGTGCATCTTTTAGCAATTCCACTCACACACACCGCATGAACCAACCGGAGCAGACGGGATACAGGATACGAGATACAGCCCAGATTACACAGTTTACATCAAGGTGTATATGCCGTGCCTCCAAGCTTTCTTATTCGTTTTGCTAATAAACGTTCTATGTTTCTTATTTATTTGGTTCCACAGTGTTTGCTGATTTTCAGTTTTATATACCTATTTAAACTTTGTGTTGCCCAAGTAATTTGTTATTTTATTAGACATATATGGAGTATTTTTATTAGTTTTGTTAATAAAAGTTCTGAGTTTGACGTTGTTGTTGCTTGAATTAAAACAACGCAGAATTGCCGCTTATTTGAAAGTGAAAGTAAAATGCACATGACGCTTTTACAAGCTATTTGAAAGCGAAGAAAAAAGAGGGAAACTCAAACGAACTAACACCCAATACCCAAAACTGTCCAATATCATATTTTTCGGCTGGTGTTTCTTATGGCCTTCACTTCAGTTGGCTGCCTGTAATAGATTTTTTTGGAAAGCACTCACAATTTTAAAAGATTAAAGAGCAAAGTAAATATCAAATAAATCTAATATACTGTTACTTCACAAACATGTGGATGGGTATTTCTTGTCAATGATTTTCAAGAATATTTTTTAGATATAACCAACTGCTGCTCATATTTACCACTGCTATGCAACATTTTAAAATCAAAATCCAGTCATTTCAATGGCAATCCAAGCGATTGGGAATTTCACTTAAGAGCGACACATTTCCCCAAGCAGATTTCACAGCAGGTTCAAGCTTTTCATGCAAATTTGCCGCGCTAACCAACAGAAAGCATCTTCTGAGTGGTGCTTTGTGCATCACTACATTATTGACAATAGACAATACAATTAAATATAAATATTAGATGAAAAACAAACTAAACGAAAAGTTGAAGCACTAAAATTACTAACTGGAAATAAATAAATTTACATTTTAAATTTAATTAATAAAAATGGTGAGAATTCAATGACTAAGAATTCAACTAAAATCAAAATGAAAACTAAAAAATAACTGGAAGTAAATGGCAAATAAGTAAAATTGGTAATAAATAATAATAATAAAAAAGAAACCCTAAAAACTAAAACTGAACTGAAACTGAAATAAAAATATAGAAAATCTAAATAGTAGTATTTAATTTTGTTTTAATACAAATAAAAAACATAAAATTAAATGATTACAAATTAAACAAAAATTAAAATGAAAACTGAAAATATAAAAATATATACTTATTTAAAATCTAAATAAAAAAACTATAGTATAATAAAATAGTATTTATATAATACTAAAAACTAAAAATAATACATAAATATTAGATGAAAAACAAAGTAAACTAAAATTAGAAATGTTGTCTTGGCAGCTAACTGAAATAAGTTTAAGTCAAAGCACTAAAATTACTAACTGGAAATAAACTAAAACTGAATTAAAATAAAAATCTAAATAGTAATAAAAATGATGGCGAAAACACATAACAAAATTCAATGACTAGAATTCAACCAAAATTAAAATAAAAACTACAAATACAGTAACTGGAAATAAAATAAGGCAAATAAGTAAAAGTGGAAATAAAAAATAATAATAACTAAAAAATAAAATTATACTAAAACTGAAATAAAAAATATAAAACCTAAATACAGATAGTATTTTTTACAAATAAATTAATTTAAATAAAAAACACACAAAATTAAATTATTAAAAATGAAACTAAAATTAAAATGAAAACTGAAAATATAAAATAAATACTTATTTACAATATAAATCAATTAAATAAATAAAAAATGTAACCTAAACAGTACAATGGGCTGTATTTTATTAAATAAATAAATGAATAAATAAATAAACAAATAAACAAAAAATTTAAACTGAAAAAAAATACAATAACTATAAAAGCTTATTCAAAATATTAATAAAAACTATGGTATATTAAAGTAGTACATAAATAAATCTAAAATAACACTGCATGGTTTCAAATGTACAGATAAGCTAAATCCAATAAATCTATGTTTTTTCCTCCAATCTTCTTTTGATTTGCGACTATGGATCTGTCGGTTCACTATGCAGACATGCTAGAGGAGCTAAATGTGATTCGCAGACTAAGAAGAAATGTAATTAAAGAATGTAACTCTGTTACCATCATTTCCAGCTGGCTATGCACCTCTGCAAATGTACATGTGTATGTGAAACACTGTGTGTGCATGGAAACAGTATTAGAGAGCTCAATGGTCTATGATAAAGACATCTGGATTATCTTGTGCATGGGACACATCGCACATCTGCTCAGTTCTGCATGTTGTGGCATGTTTAAATGCAGTTTATATTGACTTATAATAATGTAATCATCTGTATTCTGTTCTTCCTCTCAGAGCCGTGTTCAACAGTCAGAACACATACTGTATGAGCCCATACATCCTCCACAATCCCATCATGCCTCTGCTTGTAGCTTGAGGGCGCATGGGCCGG